CATGTTGTACCACTTAGCTATTGGCACAACAATGATACATAGAAACAACCTCAAAATCTCAAACACAAATATTTATTTTTTGCTCATCTGTGTGTGGTAAGGATGAGGATGGTCTCCAGCTGGTGTTGGCTGCATGTACATTCAGGCTAAGGTCAGGTTTATTCCACAGGTTTCATTTTGGAGCCCAGGCTAACATAACAAAGACACCTAAGGCATGCTCTTTGCATGGTGATAGCAGAATTACAAGAACACAAAACCCAACCACGTAAGCACATTTCAAGCCCCATCTTCACCATATTTACCAATACCATAAGGGCAAAAAGAAATCACTTGGCCAATCCTGTAAACAAAAGGGGCAGGGATGTCTATTTCACCCACCATGCAGCTGTGGGAAGTGTAAGCAAACATAATACTACTGTGTCAGAGTGAAGAATTGGGCACAATAATTCAACGAGCCTCAGCACATGTTCTTGAGCTCTGAGTGTTTGGCATGGAAGACATTCTTTTGCTGTAATGGCCCATGTGGGTTTTGAGGAGAAATGCATGATGCTGCAGCCACACAGAAAGTTTTTGTTTCTCTATATTGTGCTTTGATTGCCTTGTGTACTCATATCTACTCTCAGCATTCTGATTCAGTGCATGCTGTGTAGTGGTTTGAAAATCTGAATTAATTGCTCTTAAAAGTAAATAATAAATTAAAAAATAAATTGGTTACTCTTTTACTTTATAAGTTGTTGAGAAATATCCAGAGTTCAGCTGGGAATTTAATAAGTGTTAATTCAATTATTGGTGAAGCTTCTAGGACCCCAGACTAACCTGGTCTTCCTGCGTTCTCCTTTCCTGATTTGAACTTATCTACCTAGTCATAGGTATTACTCCTAGAGAGCACCCTACCAGTCTGCTGTGTTTATAGCATGGGAAGAAGGAAAGCTTTTGTATGGATCCAGGGGAGGAGAAATGGAGGGTGAGAAGAGTGGTCAAAGTGAAGAAATACTGCTTGTGGAGGCCTTGAGCCAAGAAACAGAGTCACTAAAAAGTGGCAGCCATGGCAGTTTTCAGGCATTTGAGGGATCACTCTCCAGGCAATGTGATTACTGACAATGCAAGCCCTCAGACAATTTAACCTGAAGAAAATCAGACCAAGAGGGAACCTGAAAGTTGACCATAAATATAAAAAAGAAAAGGATTGAGTTCCATTCATTCAATAATTATTTCTTGAGTGCTACCTGCTCAAGGTCTGGTGAGACACATCTGCACAGCAGAGGCGACTATAGTTGGATCTCCTGTCTATCTCCTCCTGCATGCCTGTCCATGCTAGCAATAGGTGGTGGGATTTTGGGATACCTGTGTGTTATAACAAAAAATCTGCACAATGCCTCTGATTATGCATGAAATGACTTGCTGAACACAGAATAGAGAACCCTAGCAACCCTAATGTTGCCTGCTTCCCTCACCTGGGAAGCTAAGGACAAAAATTAAACTATGGGCTGACCAACTGCCAGAACACTGAAGGAAGCTGTTGCTAGGAATGTTTCTTAGGGAGTCACCACTTGAAAGCTTAAGATTTATTAGAGCCACTACCCCTCCCATACCCTGGACAGGAGTATGTAGAAGCAAGGAGTTCTAGTTGAAAATAATAATCTCAATACATAGAAATGAACACAAAACCTGCCCCCCCAAGATGTATAAATCAAAAAACCTAGGCAAAAAAATCAGTTATTTAATCTAGACAAATTTAACCTCAATAGATAATAGTTGATTTCTATGTATCTACAAATCACCCCTTGTACCCTTTTAATTTAGATCAATTCCTAGAATCTTAATAGACACCTAGTTACTAATTGGCACCTGAAAGTTTGTGCCCATATAGCTTCATTGGCTATCTGATTAATGACCCTCTTGGTCAAAATAACCTTTGTTTAATATGGTTGATCTGTGGGACCTCCTGTACTTTTCAGTTATTTCTTTGTTTAACATGATTGATCTGTAAAACCTTCTGTGTTTTTAGAAATTATTTCTGCAGTAACTGTTTCTGCTTTAATAATCACACTATGCATTGAATGTTGCATAACCTCCCCTATAAAAATAAAGATTGATTTTTCTTGGTGAGTCAATCAGGCCCAAAAAGCCTGGCTGTCCTCCAGTACCCCACTGGGTGTCTTGCTTCAGTCACTTCGCCTTAGCCGTGCATCCTTCAGGGACACTGAGACACCGCCAAGGCTGGACCCTGGCAACTACCTCTTGCCAGGCATCCTGCTCAGTGTGTAGGGGATTCAGCAATGGACAAAAAAGCCATATCCCTGTCCATGTGGAGATTACATAGTTTATAGGGTGGGGTACAAATGATAAACTAAATAATTAGAAATATATGCTGTGATAGAAGGTAATAAGTGGTAAAGAGAAAACAAAGCAAGGAGAAGAGGGTTATAGTGTGTGGGTAGGGTCGGGTACCATTTCACAAAGGAGGTCCAGCATGTGCGACATTTGAGTAAAGATCTGAAGGAGACAGAAACAAGGGTAGGAGCATCCTGCACAGAGTCCAGAACCAGTGAGTGCTAACACTTAGGGTGGGGGTTGGGGTTGGTGCTAGGGGATGGGTGATGAGGAATAGTAAGAAGGCCAGTATGTGGGGGAGAAGTAAGAGATGAGGTCAGGCAGGTGGTGAGAGGAGAGGAAGAGCAGGTCAGCTTGGAACTTGTGAGCCATTGTGATGCTCCAGGTATATGGGATCACAGACTGGCAGACCTAAGCCATCTTACTTTGTGAAATGGGGAGTCAACTTTATGGGTAAGGGAGGCTTGGGTCTGTTTTAGCAACACATAGGTTGGGCTACAGTGTGGATGACAGACCAAACAGGAGCAAGGGTCACGATTCTATATGCTTCTGAGGAAATAATTAGAGCTAACATATGGAGGCGGCTGATTTCTGTAACTAAATAACCCCAGTTAATAGACTGTCCATGAGTGAAACTGGCAGCCCAGTCACCCTGGGAGTCACAGTGAGCAGCTTGTCACCAGCAGTCCCAGCAGATGCCAGGGATGTCAATGCAGGGATGTTGATTTCTGCCTTGGAGAAGGTATTACACCCTATGACATCCCACATTCCTTCCACTTAGGAGTGTCTGATTTATAACATGCATCACCTCAGTCTCCCCCACTTTAGAATAGAACTCCATAAATATAAAGGTTTTGTCTCTTCTGTTGATTGCTCTATTCCTGGTGGCTCGAATTGTGTCAAAAATATAGCAGGTCCTCCATTAGCATTTGTTAAATGTATGAATGTCTCAGTTAGACTTACCACAGGAACAGAAGCAGTGTACTTCTCTGCATGTCAGAGAATGAAAAAGTTGGGTTGGATGGCCTCTGGTGACCTTTCTAGGTCTGGCAGTGTGTGATTCTGTATCAAACTCCAAGCTAGTGTGGCTAAAGGGCTTTGCTGGCTATGGGGTGTTTGAAGAGGAGGTGCTCATGGGAAGGAAAGGCCGGGATGAGTACTTGGATTAAGGAGTAGGGAACAGATGTTCAAAGCTGCGGACCGGGACATTGTCTAAAAATAAATGTGAATTGTCTCTTTGAAATGCGTAGGGTTCTATTTCCAAGAAGGGATATTTTAATTTTTATTTATTTTCACTTCATTCATTCATTGATTCATTCATTCATTTATAGGGGAAGGGGGGGAGGGAGAGAAACACCCATGTGAGAGAATAACATCGAATGATTGCCTCAAGCAAGTGCCTCAATCAGGGACTGAACCTGCAACCTTGGCCTGTGCCCTGACTGGGAATTGAACCAGTGACTTTTCACTGTGTGGGGTGATGCCTAACCAATTGAGCCATACCATTTGGGCCCAACAAGGGATATTTTACTGAAAACTGAGGGTCTAGGATTCTGAGCATTCTAGCATGTTGCCTTTGCTTCATTTGAGTCAACCTGGTCAACTAAGTGTTCACAGGTCCCTGAGACTCTCTGGGAAAAACAGCACAAACTGCAGAAGGGACTCCTTTCGAGTGTATCAAATTACTTTTGTTTTTCTTGGTGAGGTTCTCAAATGACAAGCTTTCTTTAAAGAAAGATTTCTGTTGAGGCACAGCATCACTATGTGCCCCCAGACACCCAGGACACGGCAATTGCATGTCCCCTGAAGGTTGGGCAGAATGGCCGCCATCACCAGGTTGGCTGCCTGGGCCCAGCCCCGATTTGTTACCAGGTAAGCCAATGAGATATGCTGTCATATGTATTGAATATAGAATGAAATATGAAAAGATGCACACCAGGTAGTATGCAATTATATTTATTTTATTTTAGGTAAGACAGGGTGTTTTAATGTCAAGTAGCATGCGGAAGGGTGTGTTTTCCATGCATTCCTCCCAGCTGATTTCATGGTGAATTTAGAGAAGTGGGGTTCAGCTTCCGGGCGATCTAGGAGAAAGAGAACAACAGCTAGAATTTAGTTATTTATTAATTGTGAGGCTACTGACATCTATTATCTTATTTTCTCTGTATGTTAATAGTAGCAGGTGGCTGCTATGGTTGCCCTCAATTTACAGATGGGGAAACTGAGGCTTAGAGAGAGTGTCTGGCCCAAGGTCCTATCAGTAATAGAGGATAAACACAATTCTTGACCCCAAGTGTATCCTGTGCACTCAAATGTTCACAACATTGTAGTGTGTAGTCCTAAAGCATAGTCCCTTTTAGACTTGCTAGTATAATCACAATTACAGCTCCAGCAAACAGCATGGTAAATGAATAGGATCAGTATTTCCTGGCAGATGATATCAGTGTCATAGGGACACAGTGGAAAAACAGAGAAATGAACCCAAAATCCTGGGGTTTCAGCCATTGGGACTCTGTCCTTCTCCAGACACTGGAGTGAGCAGCTTTCCCATTGGATTTTTTACTGTTATGGACCCATAGACAGTTAGAGAGTGGACTGCTCCCCTGTGTGATACCTAGTCATCCATCCTCCCATCCAAGAACAGAAGGCAGTCGTCTTCTGCCTGCTTATTCCTGAAGGTCCCTGCGGCGACGGCCAAAGGCTTTGGAGCCCACATAGGTTGGCACAAAGTTGCTCTTCAGTATGCCCCCAGATCTGCTCAGCAGGCCTGCCAGCTTATTGGTCACGCAGGTAGCAGTGTTGCAGGCTCTCTTCTGGGTGTTGACACTGATTCATAGGATGGAGGAAAAGAGAAGGTCTGTCAGTGAGAGGTTGAAAGGGTGAGGTGGGAAAGTCCACCTCCTGGGACCATCATGGTAAAGTTACTGCTCTAAGAGGCACCAATTAACCTTAGGGTTTTCACCTAAACAGCAGAAAAGTTTAGGTCATTATGGAAAAAGTCATCACTACTTCCCACAGACATTCCCAGTGCTGTCAGAAAATCTATAGATGGCTCTCACTTATCTCAGACACTGGTTTACCTGACCCTGCCTCGTGCAAGCCCTTTGCCTTCATTTTGCATGTGGTCTAACCATAGTCTCTCCATCTGACCTCTGTCTTCAGTGGAGCCTGAGAACAGCTGGACCCAGGCTGGGGTGAACAGCCTGCTGGTCACCTGTCCAACTGTGTTCTCCCCTACTTCTCAGGACATGCCTTCCTAGGCATGACTGGGGAGAGGGCACACCCTGTGCTGGGCAGGTGCCTAACCTACCTGAAGTCCTCAGTCTCCTGATCCTGCTCCTGTTCCTGTTCCTGTTCCACATCACCAATTTTCTTTTGCATGTAGTCTTTCACCATTTCAGCCAGTATGAGGCACAAATCATCCTCTTTGAATGCAGCAGGATCCATGCGGCTCCCCAGGTAGGACCTGGGGAGGGGAAGCAAACCCAATACAGGCTCAGAGTCTACCCCATTTACAGGATAATTACCCAGGTTTGCATGAGGGTGAGAAAGCAGACTAATAATAGAGCACATGTTAAATTTAATAACAACAAAGTTATTGGCAAAACAGTTAGCAGATTGTGATACAATTTATTTCTCAAATTGTGGTTGAATTAGATAAATAGGTTTCCTACAGATGCAAATATCTGGTAAAAAGCAATGCAAGCACTCTGTGAGTCTAAAAAGATATAAAATTTATAACAAAGATGACTTCCGGCCAAGATGGAGGCATAGGTAGACACACTGTGACTCCTCCCACAACCAAAATAAGGACAACAACAATTTAGAAATAAAATAACAACCAGAACTGATAGAAAATTGACCTGTATGGAAGTCCTACAACCAAGAAGTTAAAATAGACATATTCATGCAGACCGGTAGGTGGGGCGGAGTCGGGTGGCCACGTGGAGAGGGGTCTCGGTAGCATAGGGCGGGCAAGGCACCCCGGGTGCGCAAGACCACAGTGGGTGGACCCTGGGTGCGCAGGCGGGGGCTGGCAGACCCCGGGTGCGGGTGGCAACGGGCAGACCCAGCTAGGCAGCGATTGTGAAGCGAGGCACTGCGTGTGAGGCAGCTGGCTGACTGGACAGTCCCACATTCACGTGCAAATAAACCAGGCGAAACTGGGGAGTGAAACAGATGGCATAGCCCAGGGTCCCAGCGCCAAGAAATAAGGGCTCGAAACACCCATTGAAAACACCTGTGGGGGCTGAGGCGCAAGGAGAGATCCCAGCCTCATGGGAGAGTTCATTGGAGAGAGCCACGGGGGAATCAGCACCAGAAAGGCCCAGTTTGCTTGGGGGAAGCAGCGGAGGGGACTGGGATCCAACAGAGAGCGGAGCGAGCGCCATTGTTCCCTCTCGGACCCCGTCCAACATACAACGTCACAACCCAGCGACGTGGGTTGCCCCGCCCGGGTGAGCACCTAAGGCTGCGCTCCTCATACGTAACTGGTGCGACAAAACAACAACAGAAAAATGGCCCAAACAACAGCAAATAAAACTAAGCAATGAAGAGACAGCCAACCTATCAGATGCACAGTTCAAAGCACTGGTGATCAGGATGCTCACAAAATTGGTTGAATTTGATTGCAAATTAGGTGAAAAAAATGAATGCTGCGCTAAGTGAAATGAAGGAAAATGCACAGGGAACCAATAGTGATGGGAAGAAAACTAGTTTTCAAGTGAAAGGAGGTCATCATCACCAAGCCCTTACTACATGAAATGTTAAAGGGACTTATTTAAGGAAAAGAAGATAAAATACATGTATAGTAAAATGACAGCAATCTCACAATTATTAACAACCATACCTAAAACAAAAACAAAAAGAAACTAAGCAAACAACTAGAACAGGAACAGAACCACAGAAATGGAGATCACATGGAGGGTTAGCAACAGGGGAGTGGGAGGAGGAGAGGGGGGAAAAGGTACAGAGAATAAGTAGCATAGATGGTAGGTAGAAAATAGACAGGGGGAGGACAAGAATAGTATGGGAAATGTAGAAGCTAAAGAACTTATGACACATGGACATGAACTAAAGGGGGAGAGAATGTAGGTGGGAGAGGGTGTGCAGGGTGGAGGGGAATGAAGGGGGGTAATGGGACAACTATAATAGCATAATCAATAAAATATATATTTTTTCAAAAAGGATGCTCAGCATCACTAGTCATCAGAGAGATGCAAATGAAAACCATAATGATATACCACTTCACACCTGTCAGAATGGTCATCATAAACAAATCAACAAACAACAAGTCCTGGAGAGGATGTGGAGAAACTGGAACCCTAGTGCACTATTGGTAGGAATGCAGACTGGTGCAACTCCTGTGGAAAACAGTGTGGAATTTCCTCAGAAAACTAAAAATGGAACTGCCTTTTCATCCTGCAATTCTACTGATGGAATTATACCTTAAGAATCCTGAAACACCAATTCAGAAGATCCTGTGCATCCCAATGTTCATAGCAGCATTATTTGCAATATCCAAGTGCTGGAAAGAGCCTAAATGCCCATCAGTAAATGGGAGGATCAACAAACTGTGGTTCATTTACACAATGGAATCCTACGCAGCAGAAAGACAGAAGGAACTCTTACCATTTGTGACAGCATGGATGGAACTGGAAAGTGTTATGCTAAGTGAAAATAAGCCAGGTGGTGAAAGAGAAATACCATATGATCTCACCTATAAGTGGGACATAATCAAGAAAATGACATGTGAGCAAAATATAACCAGAGACATGTAAACAAAGAACAAGCTGACAGTGACCCGAGAGGATGGGGGATGGGGCAATGATGGGAAAGAAGGGGAAGAGTCAAGGAACATGTACAAAAGTAACATGGAAAAAGACAACAAGGGGTGATTGAATGTGGAAGATGGGAGAAGGTAGGGAGGGGGAGAGTAATGGGGGAAGACATGATGGCAACTGTAACTGAACAGCAATTAACAAAAAAATAAAAGTAAAAAAAATTATAACAAAGAACATTGTACACCTTTTTTTTTATTTGTGAATTGCATTCAACACATCTTTATAGCATAAGAACTTATATGTAGGTTTACACACATACATCCCCCCTACCCCTCGGTGGTTGTTAAACTTTCAGCACACCACAATTCAGACCACGGAACTGGTTGATCCCAGGGGCAGTGGGAGCAGAGTGTGCTGCTTGCAGGGCTGTATCACCTGAATGGCGCTGCCTGGAGGACTCCTGTCTGGTACAGGATCAAGATGCCAAGAGCCAGGTAGGGGGAATACTTCCAGAAGCCCATGATGCCTCTCTGCAAGAAAAAAAGTATTGTCACCCCTGCAGCAGTAAGATACACCAGGCCTCCATCAAGGACCATCCTAGAGCACCCTGGCACAACAGCACATACCTTTATTTTAGTGCAACTTAGAGCTGTCTCCCATGTGTGGGGCTTTTGCTCATACCCAGCCATGCAAGTAGGGAAAGGTAGGTAGAGAGGGCAAATCTCTGTGGTTGGAATCTCTGAGAAACTAAAGAACCTAATTCAACTCTGAATTCTAGCAAAGAGACCCCTGTAAGAATCAAGGTTAGCAGAATCTTTCAATGAGACCCAGGATTTAAACCGGGAAAAAGCACCCAGATTCACGACTGGGGCTTGCAGTTTGTCGCTGATGCCCTAGGTCTTTGTGCCTGTTTGCCAACCAGGTTCCCAACCGGTTTCCTGGGGTCCACTAGGCGAGAAACCAGCTCTGGAGCGCACAGTCTGCAGAAAGAGCTACTCATGCGTCCTGTCCTGTGCGCAGTGCCTGGTGTGCTCCAGCGGCAGAGATCGGTCTAAGCACGCGTGCAGCTAAAGACAAGGAGACTGGAGACCCGCTCTGCACAGGAAGAGTGAAGCAGAAATCCTGGACTGAGACTGTTCGGCGTAACCTGGGTAGGAGTCCGGGATGAAAAATGAACTAATAAAAACTGTGCGATGAACAGACACGAACAGAAGTGGACGGAGACTTTGACACCGGCAGGAAGATTGACTAAGATAAGAGTAATGCAGAGAGAGGGAAGGGAACAGGAGAGATAGCGAGAACCACACAGCTAACCCGAAGTCTCGGGGCTCACCTGCAGCAGGTAGCGGCGGCGGCGGCGGTGGTGGCGTTCGTGTTAGGCGACTGCACTGTGGAAGTGGCAGTGACACTCCAAGTGGAAAGTCGCTCTGATGCCTCCCAGCACTGGCAGCTCCTCTTATTCCCGCTGCTCCGGGTCTGGGGGTGGTCCAGGAGCTCCGCGCAACCAATGAGAAGGATCCTGTGCCTCCGACGTATTCGTATCACCCACTTGCGTCCAGAACCTGTAGCATCCCTCAGGATCATCCCACTTGTATTTGCATTGAGGTCATTGATGGAAAGGAGAGGTGGGGGTGGTGGGGACCAAGAAAAACACCCACGAAGTGAGCAGGGTATTGAAGACAGTTTGACGTCATTGCAAATTTCACCTGTTTAGTTTCACCCGGTTTTGAACGTGAATCCCACTCCGTCTCCAGCTGCGCGGTCTTATAGGGCAGGGTCTGGGATCTCCCAAGATCCCGCTGAACTGTCTCAGTCCAGGGACCTTCTGCTCCACTCTTCCTAGGGAGGGCGGGTCTCCAGTCTCCTTGTCTTTAGCTGCACGCGTGCTTAGACCGATCTCTGCCGCTGGCGTTCCCAGGTACCCGTGCGCACAGGACAGGACTCCTAGTTTCCCGAGGTCTTACTCTAGATCCCCGTGCAAGTGAGGCTTGGAGGGTTAATGCGTATCAGTGTTAATTCTGGCCCCAAGTAGGGTGTCTGCTTCAGGCATCTGGAATCAGTCCCAGAGGACCCGGCTCGTTATGCGGGAGTGAGAGGTGGAATTGGGAGTAAGAACTTTGTCAGACTAAACTCAATTTCAGGCACACCAATTCCGGGAGATAGGATTGTGGGCAAGTAACTTCTCAAAGCCTCAACGTAAAGTTAACCTTTAACAAAGGTTTGAACTGGGCAGATCCAATTATTCTCAGTTGACCACGAGAAGTTTAGTTGATTCGTGCGGTACAATTGATGGCGGTTCATTTGAACTACGCAGCTCTCTACGCAGGAGCTGAGTGCTTAAAAAGTGTGTTGTTCGAGGGTCAACTCCGCAGTTGGAAGTCCGAGTACACGTAGGGCGGACTGTAGTAAAAAAAAATACCTGGATTTTTTACTATGCAGGAGGCCCCGCGCCCGTGTCTCATTCAATGGTCAATTGCATTCATCTTTGAAATGGGAATCATATTATCGTCTTGAAGGAATGTTGTCACTAGTATCTGTGTGCCTTTCCCTTAGCTAGGTAGGGACGTGGAAGAGCTTCCTGTTCCACATGGGGGATTCTTTAGGATCAGAGTCTACATTAAAGGATTCTCCGCCTTCTGTCCTGACCGGCGCTGTGGTCCATCACGTGGGTAGAAAGAGCTAATGATCCGCCAGCCAACAGCGGGAAGGGGCAAGGCATAGATGTCTCCCCAGCCTTCAAGCAGCCCCAGTCCTCTCCCTTTCTACCCCTGCATCCATGTCATCTGCCTGTTGGAGCGATAAGTCCAGACACCCTTCTTACCGACTGCTGTTTGCCAAGATGCCCCAGTGGCGCGCGATTCCGGACCTGCACCTGCGTCTTCGGCACTACGGTTCTCCACTAGAGAGCAGAGCAGGCTTGACGGAGCTGCGAAGTCCCTCCTGAGACAAACACTCGCCGTCACTTCCAGTCATACTCTTCCACACACGCAAACTCGTTTGTCTCCAAAATAACGCCCACTCCCCAAAACACCGGCACTCACAAAAACGACACATGCGCACAAGGTTATCCGCCCGGGTTCGCGCAGAATCACGTCCCAAGCCTGCTCGGGATCCTCTCGTACCTCGGGAGCCTCTCGTATCTACACACCTGCATGTTTGCGGTGTGTTTGCATCATACCTGTCCTCAAAAAACAAGCGTCCTCTGCAACTCCTACTTACGAAGCACCTTGACCCTCTCACAACCCGCACAACCAGTTTCAGGACTCTTTCCCTGAGCTTTCTGCCCCAAGCCCGACCGGAAGGACTTGCCTTTTTTTTTTTTTTTTTTTTAATATCTCCGACGGTAAACTACAGAGAAAGAAGATTCTTATTGTCTCCAGGATCTGGGAGTCTGAGCCTGTGGAGCACATTGCGCAGCGGCCTGTACAGTCTAGCAAATGTGTATTGGGGCCGCGGAGTGCAGGCAAGGACCCCCCGCTGGGGGGTTCTCAGGCAGAGAGAAACTAGCCCCGTGTGTGCCGTGAATGATCCGACACACAGTTCCACACCCCAGTCTTCAGTCTCCAGAATCCTCAGCACTTCCTAGGGCAAACCTGCCTTCACCATTTCGCTTCTCCTTCCAGGTTGGTGACCTCTTTGCAAAGAGGTTAATTTTCTTCATTCTATGAACATCAATTCACTATCTTCAGCCTGGGACAAATTTTGAGCTGCCATGTTAACTGGAGAATTTCAACAGAAAATTGATCGTGCTGGGTTTCACATGTAAGGAGTTTAGAAATCATAATAACAAGTAAAAACTAAATCAAATTAAAAAAAATCAACTACTCTTCTATGATTCCCAGTATTGGAAAGACAGGTAGATACAGAAAGTAGTGGTTTACTGAAACAGATATTCACAAGGGCAAATTTTACCTGGAACTAGTGCCAGTGTAGGAAAACCTGAATTACACTGAAAAATTGCTGCGGCTCACTGAGGACAAGTCAGAAAGTTAAAAACTCCCAGGGTACCTAGTCAAGGTGGGAATGGGAGGGATGATTATGTGAGTTTTACTTCCAGGAGCTCTTCCAGGTGCTCACAGTGAATATGGAAAATCTTCTGGTGCTTCCAGCAGGGTGAGAAGAAAATGAACCATTCTGAAATACATTAGAGCATTCTGTTTTTCTTAATAAGACCAGCCTTCATGAGAAAATGGTTAACCAGAGCCTAAATTGCTGAGGTATTATGAAAACCTGACCAGGTGGAAGAAAAATTCCCAACTTCATTCAGTTCTAGCCATCCAAGTAGGAGAAAGGAAATGTCCAATTCTGTCCTACTGTAGACACTTCCTCCACCTACGGTGGGGGTAAAAAAAATACGGAGAAACACTCCGGTGAAGCTTAAAGGCTAGAGGCATAGACTCACTGAAAGACTGAGACCTAATTATAGGGCTATTGAATGCTTCCCTCCTCACCACCACCTTACCACCTTGTTATTAAAGGCTTATTTACAGAAATTCCTTTACTTCGTACATCATGTCCAGCTATCAAGAAAAATTACAAGGCATACTAAAAAACCAAATAACAATATGAATAGATAGAGCAAGGATCAGAACCAGACATGGAAGGATGTTGGAGTTGTCAGACTAGGAATTTAAAGCAGCCATGATTAGTGTACTAAAGACTCTAATGGGGAAAGTAAACAGCATGCAAGAACAGATGGACAATGTAAGCAAAGACATAGAATCCTAAGGAAGAACCAAAAAGGAAATATTATAGATCAAAAACACTATAACAGAAATGAAGAGTACCTTTGATGGACTTATGGGAAGTGAGCTTGAGTATTTTTCAACAGAAGTTTCTAAAACTGAAAGGCTAAAAGAGCAAAGACTTGAAAAAGCAAACAAAAACCCAGAACAGAATATCCAAAGACTGTGAGACAACAAAAGGTGTACCATGTGCATAATGGGAATGCCAGGAGGAGAAGAGAGAAAGGAACAGAGGAAATATTTAATACAATAGAGACAGAATTTCACCAAATTAATGTCAGATACCAAACCATGGACCCAGGAAGTTCAGAGAACACCAGTTAGGATTAACACACACACACACACACACACAAGAAGAAGAAGAAGAAAAGAAAAAAGAAACCTAGCATATCATTTTTAAGAAGGTAGAAAATTAAAAATAAATATTTCTGAAAGGAACTTAAAAAAAAACCTATAGAGAAACAAAGATAAGGATTACATCTAACTTCTCTTCAGAAATTGTACAAGCAAGAGAGGAGTGGGATGAAGTATTTAAAGTGTTGAGAGAGAGAGAGAAAAAAAAAAACCCCACTAATTTAGAATTCTGTACACTGTGAAATTATTCTTCAGACATGAAGGAAAAATAAAGACTGTCTTAGACTAACAAATATTGAGGGAATTTGTTGCCAGTAGATATGCATTGCCAGAAATGTTTTAAAATAAGTTCTTCAGAGAGATGAAATATAATATATAACAACTCAGATATATATGAAGCAAAGAAAAGTATCAAAGGATTAAATGAAGATAAAATAAAAGCTTACTTTTTTATTCTTAATTGATCCAACAGATACTAATTTGTTCAAGATAATAGTAGTAATATATTTAAGAATGTATACTTATGTATATAATGCATCTAAATAAGAATACTTAGCTGTGATATATCTAAGTAGAATGATGACACCAATGGTATATGAGCCAGGAGGGATGTATTTTTATTATTTTGATATTACAAAACACTCACATTACCCATAGAGTGGTACAGTGTTATTTGAAACTGGACTTGGATTAGTTGTAAATGCATATTGCAATCTCTATGGCAACCACACACAAAAAAGATCTAAAAAGGAGTATAACCAATATGTTAAGAAACGAGAAAAAATGTAATCATATAAAATGTTCAGTTAAAACTACAAAAGGCAGAAAAGGAGTACACAAAAATAGGAACCAAGAATAAATGCAACAAATAGGAACTGTCATGAATATAGTAAATATTAATCCAACTATTTCACTCATCACTTTGAATGTCAATTGTCTAAATGCACCAATTAGAAGACAGAAATTGTTAGAGTGGATCAAAAATCAAGACCGAACTGTGTATTATTTGCAAGAAACTCTTTTTAAATTTATATTTAAAGACACACTAAAAGGCACATAGATTAAAAGTAAATGGGTAGAAAACTGTATCATACTAATACGAAAGCACAAGTAGCTATATTGATTTCAGACAGAGGAGACTTCAAGGCAAGGAAAGTGATCAGGGATAAAGAATGGCATTACATAGTAATAAAGGTGTCACTTTTTAAGAAGACATGGTATTTCTCAACATGTATGTACCTAACAAAAGAGTGTCAAAATAATGAGGCAAAAACTGATAGAATATTGCAAAAAAAAAAAGATGAACCCAGTATTATAATTGGAGAGTTCAATGCCCCTCTATTAGAAATGGACAGATCTGGCAGG